AGGAAATCTATCTCTAAGGGAGTTTTCACCAACCCAAACATCTTCCCAAAACAAGACTTTATTTCCAGCGCAGACATCATATTTGAAATAAGGAAGCATAAGAGGCAAAATACCTTGAATAGCTTTCCAAGGAGAACACTGAGAAGCCCTAGGGTCGAGTCCTGCATCCCAGCCGTTATCTGCCAATTAATGAATACTAACAATCACTCTAGAACACTGAGAAGCCCCAGATCACTTTTCTTTTCTTTTGAATAAAATTCTCTAATTGGTTACTGATAAAAAAACCATTATGTTAGAAAAATGCCATGAAGGCTTGTAGTATAATCTAAGGATTGATGTGATGTGTGATGCAACTCAATTTTTCATTTCACCCTTGTCTTCTAAGACAAGTAAAACGAGCATTACTTCTGTTTCTGTGTACCATGGTGAAATTCTGGACTAATGAGTGAAAGTGAGTTCAGGTCATAGAGTGGCCACTTTGTGCTAAAAATTCCTGAGGTTAGGTCTGTAGCCAGTCTACCCTTTCCAAAAAGAATTTAGTTTAGTTGAACACAATGGATGTATAATGGGCTTTGGAACCAATGATAACACCCCACACCAGCCATAAATGCTAAGCGAGAGATTGAGTAGTTGTGGGTCATTTGGATTTTATGACTGGCATGGGGTGTTATCATTGGTTCCTTGGCCTGCTACACAGCCATTGCATTCAGCTAATCCGATCGTGTCGAAAAATTAAATTCTAGCTCTATGCACAAAAGGCACTGGATTCTTGTTTCTGAAATACTCCGTGGCTTTGTCTCCTTTACATAAGAAGTGAACTTCTTCAATTATTCTTTAAGGTGGTAAGTCCTTTGTCTCCCTTCAGTTATTCCATAAGAAGTAAGCTTCTTCATTGCCTCCAACTTATTGCCTGGGGCTAGGTAGCCTCCATTTTTGGCAAGGCAGGCAATAACTAGTAAATGCCTAAGTGCTGACAAATTGACCACAAAAAAAAAATGCGTTGATATTGATAGAATCTCATATATAAATTAATACAGACCGCAAATGTGCAGATATGTGATAAAATAAAATAAAACTCATAAAAAATATGTGATAAAATAGTGATTTAGAACATTTAGTTTATGGCCATTGTTTTGCAAGCATAAAAAGGCAAAGCTGTATAGGTTGGGATAAGTAGCTACAATCTTTATTTTTCAAAGATTATTTGATGTGCCCTTATTTTGTGGTAACTTGATATTGGTGTGCCATTGATTGGAAGAAGATCTAAAAGAACTTCTCCACTGTTCTTTTTATTTTATATGCCATCATCCAACTATATGCCACTACAAATGTTTGAAGTAATTAGCATATGCATATAGCAAAACAAAAGCATGTACCGGAAGAGCTTTGACCAATCAACCCCCTCCACCTGGTGAATTTTGATGAATACCACTTTTATGATACTGTTTGATTGGTTACATTTTTTTCTTTGGGTTATCATGCCTTTACAGTATCATAGTCAAATTTGCAAGTTGCAAAAATAAAATAAAATAAAACAATAGTGTGGTTGACTAAGTCAATTGGTTGTTAGTCTATCTAGTTGATGCATAGTCATCCCAAGCAACCATATCATGGGTAGTGATTCAGTTTGTTGGCCCTCAACTTATTAGTTGGTTAACTAGTCAATGCTTTGAGATATATGTATGGAGTCTAAATGACCAAGGAATCTTCTACATGGCATCTCACTTTGGGACTCAAAAGGAGCCTGTGCATTTGTGTCATCTTCCTTTACTGATGGAATAAATTTTAGCCTAACAGATCTTGCCATGGGTCCAATACATCATATTCTATAAGCACTTTTAGCCTAACAGATCTTGCCATGGGCTTTGGGTGTCTGCTGCAGGAGTGGACATGTGACTGATCTAGAGGGTTCTTGAGCTTATGGACTTTTTGAATCAGTGACATCTTTAGTTCATGTGACAGAAATAGATGAAGTTGTATGGGGAAGCTCTCTACTTGGCATAGTTAGGAAACCTGTAAATAGGGACTTTCCCTAGGTGATTTCTTCCATCTTTAAGAATGATGTGACCAATCTGAGCTATCCACTACGTAGGAGACCCTATGGGTTAGTTATGTATTCAACTCTCAGCCTACATCAATCTTGTACCCTAAATATTCTTATTGGTAACTATTGACCTTTATTGGTCGTGTAAAACAAGAAAATACAAGCGTACATCCACTGCATAGACTGGAAATGACTCCACATATTACAATTGGGCCCCCAAAGTTGTTCTCTTTATAACCCTTGTTTTGCTATTGGTCAGTGAGAGACTTAGCTAACCTTTAACTGTTGCCTCAAGCTCCCTTATCAGACATTTGATATCTCTATTTACATGTCTATATTGCTACAATGCCTGGCTGCTATTCCTCATCAAGTTCACTACTACTTCGGAGTCTCCCTCAATGTCTAGATTTCTGAAGTTTAGTGTTCTGGCTAGTCTTAAACCTTGCAAAACAGTTATATTTTGAGCCCTTAAAGAGTGTTCATGACCTGCTGGACCTGAATAGATTGCCAATATGGCACTATCTCCTTTTCTAAATGCTCCACCAAGTCCTATACCCTAGCAATAGTAAAATTTTCCCAACTGATGCTATCTGTTCAAAGTTCAAAATACTATTCTGAACATGTGTGAGGGTTTTGAGGCTGAAATATGCTCCACTAATGGAGGGTTTTGCTGAAATACTATGATACCCAGCTCCTTGTACAAGGGTGCCATATCCTGTATACTTCAATTTTAAATGCGACTTTCATATCCCTCGCATGTCTTGCCACATAGAAGATTCCTGAATTGTTTGGAATCTTCGGTAAATGATCTGGTCATCAAATCCTCCATGTTTATGCTCCATACAAACTGAATACTTAGGTTGATCATAACCTCAACAAGTAGTGTTGGAATAAGGCTCGAGTTCTATTCTCAATAAGAAGTAGTAGTAATTAGGTTGGCCATATCCTCAACAAGTAGTGTTGGGATAAGGCTTCATTTAATTAAGTTCTATTCTCATACGAGCATTGCTAGCTACTTGACATCGTTCTACTACAATAGTGACCTAATTCCCCTGCGTACTCTCATTGTTAATTTCACAATTCTGGAACTAATTTTTGAGGTGTGAAATATCACTGTCTTGAAAAGCAAATAAAAATGTTTGATCAGGTCCAAGTTTTTGACCATGATGTCAGTTGCCTGGCACTTCAGGTGGCTGGGTAACGTGGGTGCCCATTGAAGGCCCTAATTTTGATGCATGGATTTGTTCGTCCATACTGATAGTATTAATGTGAGATTGTACACCAATGCACAGTTTTTGTCTTAGGAGTCTCTAAGCCATGGATCTATTTGTTCCCTTCTTGAGTATTGGGTTTTCTCTCCTTCCCAGAATGCCAGAATTTTACTTTTAATAGATATTTAAATTCAGTATTTTTTCTTCTTGGATGTTTCATTCTTATCTTCTGGTTTGTGGAAGTATCTTGGTTACTCAATGGAGCAATGAAATGGAATATGGTATATTGTTTATTTATAACATAAACCCTGAATGACAAGATTTTGAAAATTTTTCTTGCCATACTTGTTCATGTTCCAATAATCATATGATTCCTGTGCTGTATCTCATTACGGTGCTTCCAACAAATAGAGAAGATATTTTTTCTGTTATTTTGATATGTTGTATTGGTTCTCTCCAGGCTTTTCTACTGTATTTGCATCATGCTCATCTGGAAAGCTCCAAACTGGTGCTGTTGGAATGCAAGCTAGTTATTGCAGTCAATTTGGACCCACACATTTGAGAGCTGAAGGACTTGATGAATCTGGTTCTACCAGTTTTGCTGCTCTTGATTGTAATGCCAGCCATAGGATAGAGAAAGGTTCCTCAAAATGGCAGTCCAAAGGAAAGAGGAATATGAGAAATCTGAGGAAAAAAACGAGCAAAAACCTCAAGTCAAGGAGACCCATCAATTATGATGATCAAGAAGATGCTTATTTGGTAGATGTTCAGCAGGCAGATGAGTTTTCTGTAGGTTTGAATCGCAAAGTTGGCATCAACTCTTTTGAGCGGTCCCATACATCAGAAAATTGTGCCCAACAGGCAAGAACCAAATTGCTTTCAGAAGACCTCAAAGATGCCTCTCGGAATTGGAATAAACAATACTCTCAAAGGGAATATCAGGTAGGGCAGCCCCGTTACCTGAATTCCATCAAATATGGGAGACAGGTTTCAGGACATAGAGAGGTTGCATTCCACACTGCAGAGAGTAAAGATGGTCTATCCCTATCAAATGAGAAGTATGTAGTAGCTAGGCCAACAACCCAAGTGAGAAACAAGGAGTCATTCTTGACGAGGCGTATGCCCGTTTCCCCTCTGATGTCACACAGGTCACTTCCACTTCACCAGTCTCGATTTACAACTTACCCCCGATATCAGACTGCAGGTGCACCCAGAAGAAACATTTCTGGCACTTCTACTTTATTTGATGTTAATCTAGATGTACGAGCAAGCTATCGGGGCCAGCATGTACCTCTGGTTTCTCTCATGAGTAAATTGAATGGTAAAGCTATAATAGGTCATCCTGTGACAGTTGAAGTTTTGGATACCGGTTACCGTGATCTCCAAACGAGTAACACGAACTACTGTGCAGCAAGCAGCGGTACTGAGTTGTATGACATCTCAAAAGAAAACATATCAGATCAGTCAATCAATGTCAGTAATAGTTCACCGATCCCAGAGGAGGGTGATAATGCTGGTGTCAATTTGCAGGCTGAAACTGTTGAACCTCAAAGTAACCAAGCCCTGGCCAAGCATTTGACAGTCCAACCCACTTTGTTGCCAAAGAAATCTCCCAAGTTCAAGAAATCCGGGCTTTTGTCTAAAAAGACCCGTAAACTATCTTCACTGACTGTTTCTCAGGATCACAGGGAAGGGAGGAAACCAGTTGTAGAGAATTCAGGACCTGTAATTGCTTGTGTCCCCTTGAAGGTTGTGTTCAGTAGATTAAAAGCAGCAGTTAACTGTTCAACACGGCCAGTGCACCATGTCTCAGCATCAACCAACCCATGATGATGGTCTCTTGAAACTTTGCAGGAGCTCTAGGCTTGTAATTTTGGTGAATGTGGATCGGCTGTGGAGCCCAATTTCCCTTGGCACTCCTGCAAGACTGTAAATTCCACCCTGAAGGTGGAAGTAGATTTATACAGTCATGTCATCTTTTGTTCCTTGGCATGGCAGTTCATTGTTGTAGTAATGGGAAGTGGCAGGAGGCTTTTCCATTGTACTTTACTAGGCTGGATCCCTGTAGATTTAACGTTTTCGGATCATTGATATGGTATGATAGAGCAGGCTGATATTGGCTATGTACATGATGTAATATTACTTTGGAAGTGTAAAGATGATGATCCGGTTTAGGCTTTAACTGATGAATACATGAAGCCAGTTCTGGGATTATTACTGCTTTATTCAAGATGCTTTTCCTTGACATCTCATTTGCAATTTTCTAGCTTGCTCCTCGACTGGAAACTTTAGCAACATCAACTGTATTTTGTTATTTAGTAGCTAGATGAAAAAAGGGGAAAAAAAGAAAGAAGAAATTAAGAAATTAAATAGCTATGAGCATTCTTTGTGTTGTTGTTGTTGTCTTCCATGGAGGAATCCTGCACTCCCTAAGGAATGGGTTTAGGTTCAACAGGACTGGTTTAAACTGAACCAGACACAACTCTAAATTCTTAGACCTGTCATTTTTGTCATTCAGGCTGTGTTTGGAAACGATGCAAATGGAGTGTAAATCCCGGTTCAGTGTAAATTTGCACTCTGGTTCATTTTTGTCTGTGTTTGGCAACATTCATGTTTGCATTCCATTACAGTTAAAAGTCTGTTTGGTAAGAAGATAAATTTGTCGATGTAAAATTAACTCGACCTTACAATTTATATGAATCGTTTTATACTCTACACATTTGCATTCACACTTATTCACACTTAGGCTGCATTTGGTAAGATTGCAAATACAAATAAGTTCGGTGCAAATGTAAATATGTATGGTTTATGAAAATGCAAAATTAGTTTAGTTTTTGCATTGTTAAATTTTGTATTCTTATCACACGTATTTTGTTGTGATGGGTGGAAATTTAAATTCTGAGACTTGTATTTACCGTTTTTGCATTTTACTTCGAGTGCAAGGAAAAAAAAACAAATATACCATAATTTTCAATACAAAAATGTATTCTTATTGAATGTTTGTAATACTGAACTGAAGCACAAATTCTATCCGATTCAGCAATTGCATTTCTTATCAAACACAGCCTTGGGAACCACTTCTGTGTCAAGTACATTGTTATGAAGCATGTGGAGAGTATTTGATTCATAAAACCTTGGCAGGATTTTAACTCATGATGGTTCAAAGATGATCTAATACCCAGTGACGAAACTTCAAAATTAACAATTCTCTTATTTGCATTGGTATTATAAATGGTGTATTAGAAACGAGAAGGCCATTTTAAGAGATGCATCAAGGTATGTATTAGAAACATATGGATGGTGTATTAGAAACGAGAAGGCCATTCCAAACGAATTCATATTTTGGTGGGTTCTTTGACATGCCAAGAAATATGATTAGGGTTAACCGAGTGAGGTGGGTCAGTTGGTATGTTATCTGGTTTGTTTTAGTATAGATGAAAAAGAATATGACTTGAGGGTATAAATGGACCGGTTTTAGTTTAACCCGGATTTATATATACATAGACAAGATCTTATTACTGAGGTTTGATCCAAGGTACGACAGATGTTCCAAATGTTTGATAATCAAATTTGCTCTGTCATCAAATCATCTCCTACAAGAATATACCTCACAATGTCCCACAACAGATCTTCGCCATGTATTAAAAACATTTCTCAATGATGTCGGAGATTTATGAAACTTCAAAATCCCCTCACTAGGGCTTCGTTTGAAAACATGGCCATAGCAAACCCTTTTTCTTCATATTTGTTTGGAACTTTGGATGGGCTTAGGTCAGATCGGCTTTCATAATCCTGGTCCCGATTTTAAGCTCAGGAAACTAGGTCCTACAGAAATGCCAAGCGTAAATTTTCTTTTCTTTTTCTTGTATGCCTTACAAATCCGTTTCACACCACGTGAAAAACACCGACTGTGGGACCCACCTTTGAGTTGCTAAAAGTGTTCGAGATTCGTGGCGTAGAGTGCACTTTCGAGGCATACAGGAAAAAAATCCTTCGTGTACTTAGCATTGCTCTTTAGGGTTTTGAGATTTGAGATGCATAATAATAACATAACTATAAACGTCGTCTGGGTGCCTAGGGTTCTTGTTCCGGAAGGTCTCCCTCCCTCTCTTTTCTCTCTCTGTGCGGTATGTAATCCTACGTTTCTTGCTTGATTCTCTCTTAAGTGTTGATTCGATTTGATCTTTCGGAATATGATATCGATATTTTAATTTCATAGTATTTTTTTTTTCCGATCGGAACCGTTTTGATCGCTAGGTTATCTTTTGTTATGATCTTCATTTTTTCTGTTTAACTGATATCTCGCAAAGATTTAATGGCGTTCGTTCAATGTTGTGCAGGTGAAATGGCTACTGTTCCAGGGCCTTTGATTTGGGAGATCGTGAAGAGGAACAACTCCTTCCTCGTGAAGGAGTTCGGGAACGGAACTGCAAGCGTGCAGTTCAGCAAGGAAAGTAACAATCTCTACAACCTGAACTCCTACAAGCACTCAGGTAGTGAGAGCCATCCTCTGGTTTCACACCATTTCTGCTCATCGTTTATACTTGAGCGTTCCTGTGTTAATCTCATCTCTAAACTTCTGGATTGAAATTATAGGTTTAGCAAACAAGAAGACGGTTACGATTCAACCTGGAGGAAAAGATCTTTCTGTGGTGCTTGCCACTACGAAGACGAAGAAGCAGAACCAGCCTGCAAGCTTGCTCCACAAATCGGTCATGAAGAAGGAGTTCCGTCGGATGGCCAAGGCTGTTGCTAACCAGGTACTGGAGAGAATCGTCATTTCTAATTGTTTATGGTGCACTTGATAATAGATGTGAAATAGGAATGCCACTTGGGCCTCTAATTAATACAACGAGATTCTTTTGAATTCGTTAATGTTTTCTTGGTCGTTACTTACAGCTACTTTGATTGCATCTGGTTGTTGGCAGACATATTTCATTTTATCACTGATACTAATATCAAATTGCCAAAGTATTAATTCAGAAATGACTGAAAATATATTCTCGAAAGCTAGTTCTTTCGAAATTTATTTTGTTGTAGCTAGTTTTCTTCTACTTGTGTTGAAGAACAAGTGAAACTTATTTTATACAGAAAACATAGTGCCTTTTCTTTCTCAAAGCTCCTTGTATTCCCTGTAAAATTAGTTGGAGTTTTTTATGCGGTGATGAAGAGCTAACATGTAAGAAGAACCCTTGCATGCAGGAGTCTTCAATGAAATCTACCTGTTACGCTTGGCTTCTGAGCTTATGTCTGTCAGCCCTAGGATATTTTGTTATTTTGGTTTCTTATGGATTATGGTCACTGAGGCAAAATGTTTGGTAATGTTCCAACAGAATGGCAACATCCCACTGGCGTGTTACCAATTAGCCCCTATTTTATTGGATGCGTTTTGGTTTAAAATTATGCCTACTGCCTATGTATGATTGGAGTTGGTCGGTTCGCTACACAATCAGGTTTTCAAAAGATGAGATGGGAAATGTGAATGTATTGGATATGCGATTACCTTCTAAATACATTCTCTTGTTGCTATTTTTATTCTATTTGCTTGTGTAGCCGATTTTTTTGCAGTGATGAGATGCTAACATGGAAGGAGATTTTTGTTAGGGAACCCTTTTATGAATTTACTAGTTACTTTTGGCTACTTGACTCTTTTTGAAGTTTTGAAATTTGTCCTTTTTGCATGTTTTTTTTTCTTTTTGAAATTATAAATTTCTGGTCAAGCGATGTTATGTAACTGAAAATGCAACAGCACAGATAACCCGATGCCTTTTCTTTCCCGATTCTCCTTGTATTCTTTGTGAAATGAATTGGAGCTTTTTATGCAGTGATGAAGAGCTTAACATGTAAGAACCCCTGCATGCAGGAGGTTTCTATGAAATCTACTTGTTACGCTTGGCTTCTGAGCTATCTCTGTCAACCTAGGATATTTTGTTATATTGGTTTATTGTGGGTTAAGGTCACTGGTGCAGTGTTTGTGAGTTCAGATCTGCGCCCCACAATGCCCCACAGCACATCCCGACCTTGTATTGGGAATATCTCTCGATGATAAATACAGAGATGATGAGAGATGAGAGATGTGGGGCGCAGATGTGAACTCGGTGTGTTTCGTAATGGTCCAGCATAATGGCTACATCACAGTGGAGCATTACCAGGTGTCCTCTAATTTATTGGATGGAAATTTTGATGCATAGACTGGCTTGTATAGGTAATTGGGTATATATATATATATAGGCATGGGTGATGATGATGATTGTATCAATACACAGCATACATACATGGATCCCGAACTAGAAGTGTTTTTCAATCCTCTGCTTTGTTATATCTGACCCGTCTGTCTTTTCACCATGTTATTTCCATCCATTTTTGTACTAGAAAAACCTCATTCTAGCTCATGTTTGAACTGTTGGTGTTGAGAAAGATGCTTACTTTCTATTCTTCAACTGTTGATGATTGCAGGTCTCAGATAACTACTACAGGTCGGATCTGAAGAATGCAGCCCTTGCAAGGCTTAGCGCTGTACACAGGAGTCTCAAGGTTGCCAAGTCCGGTGTCAAGAAGAGGAACAGGCAGGCAGTGAAGGTCCGTGGCAGGAAGTGAGATAACGACTAGTCTGTTATTTTTCCCCTTTCCGTCACTTTTTATTTTTATTTGTTTTAGTTAAAGGGGGGAACAGTATCTTTGGTTTAGCTATCTGAGTTGGGAAGAGCCTAGTTTGTTGTCTGAAGCGTGACAAGGTCTTGTTATTGTTAGCCAAATTCTTGCAATGGGCCTTTTATTTGAATTTGTTAAATACCATTATTATGATTTATGGGCGAGCTCACAATATATCTAAAGCGAAAGTTTTGAAAGAGGTAAACGTATCGGATTCGAGTCGAACATCGAATGGGGCAATAATTTGATTCCAATTTGACCAATTGATTATTAGTAATTAATATATATATAAAAGGAATATTTTATTTATATGAATTTATTATATATAAATTGTATAAGATGTTTAAATATTTTATTTTTGATTGACTAGTTGAATATCCTGACACCCCTACTTATAACTGAACAATTGTTAATCATTCACAATGAAGATTTTGCTTTTCCTCCACAGGGTTTGGGCCTCACCCACCTCACAAATTAGCCTTGCATTCGAAACATCTCTGTAGTATTTAAAGGAAGATGTTCCGAGTTCATGGCTGTAGACCCGTAGTTTTGTGAAGTTGGCACGAGGACCAATTTTTTGATGATTAAAACTGGATTCCATTTATATGAGATGATCATGGAGTCCATATGTTTGGGAAAAGATAAGCTGCACCTGGTACATTTGGCGTCTCAATGGTGGAAAAGATGAGAAAGCTACAAATCAAATGGGATCAGGATCTGTTATATGGGTAAGATGACTCCTCTCCACTCGTGAAATCAAGATAAATTTTGGTGTCTCAATGGTGGATGGCAGGTGTACATATGGATACAAATATGTACAGTACAAATATATATAAAATAATAGAAAATACAAGATTTTACACTCTACATATTTATATTTTTATTTCTTCCGAACTGCTTTAATAATCATTATTAAAGTTCTCCAAGACACAAGTAGAGCCTCTGTGGAAATGTCAGCAATTGAACGGAAAGTGGAAGTCCATTGCCAATAACTTCTCTCTAGGAATCACATACAGAGAAGTGAGCTGCTCCGCTCTTGGTTAGCTGGGATGTCATGGGTCACATTGACTTCCCTGGTGATCCTAAACTTGGAGCTTTTCTGGATATTTCTGTGAGATTTATCTCTCGTGTGGTTATCTTGTGTTTTTTTTTTAGGTTCAGGTTTTCTGTTTTTATTTCTCCCCACTTATAAAAAAGGGCAAATTTCTTAAAATATCTTTACGATTTAGTTAATTGATTAACTCTATCCTTACTGGTTATATATTGTCTTAAATTATCCCTACTGTTTATAACATCATCCTAAAGTGCTAATAGAAAAAAACAAAATATCGAATTTGCTTTACACTATCCCTCAAATTTTCAAAATAAAACCCAAGTTATGAAAAATTTGCCCTCCCCTCTTCCCTTTCATCTTCCCTTCACTATTTTGATCTCACCTCTTAAAAACACATCCATCAGTAAATTGGTAAAAGATAAAACGACAAGAAAACAAAGAGAAACGAGAAGAGAGGAAAGCGCAAGTTCCAAAGTTGATTCAATTTCAGCTAAGGTAGGGAACTTGATTTCTCCCTTATGAGAGTGGCTGCATAAAGTTTCAGACGACTGGGAAGTCTATGGTGAAACCCCAACTCAAACGCATAATCGATGTCCCAGTCTGAACTAGGTCCTTTGCCAAGCTTATCAATGTGCTGGCACCTGAAGCAGCACATCTAGCATTGTTTTTTGGTTCGCTGCTAGCGATCCTGTATCCAGCATCGTCCCTGATGCTATCACTCTGAACAACACCCCGACCACCCCGCCACCACAAATCAAGCATTTCATTCAGCATTTACCACTTAGATTTTTTCTCGATGTAACCAACATCAGCAAGCTCCATTTTTTGCAAATTGACAATGACTGAAATCTACTACGAGGAGGAAACCCCCCAACTTTCAAAGCAATTGGTGGACTCCCGTTGGGATTTGACGAGGTTGGTCTGAAAATGCCTTAAAATGCAGCGAGTAAGAATCGAATGCCAATGCCAAGAAATTGGTATTCAATTGCAATTGTGGTATCAGATGAACCCAACTCTATAGCCCTAACTGTGGTAATGCATAAGAATTCTTCCATCCTCATACAAAATCCAGAACCTAAATCTCAAGAACCTGAAGGTTTAAAGTTTTAGTGATCAAGTCAGGGGCATCGCAAAATTCGCCCCTGTTTTTGTTCAAAAGCTTTTGGAGAAACACCCCTCTCAAATCGATTTGAGCATCTGGGTTGTCTACCTCTCTCTAGACAAGTTCATGAAACCAATAACAGAGAGAGAGAGAGATGAACCTGCTTCAAACGTTCAGCCCAAAAACCTTCTTCACTATCTTCAGTGCCTTAAACATTAATCCTACTTCTCATTCCTTTTTCTCCCCACCAAACCATGATGTTGATCCTGGTCCTAGCTGGAACCGCTTATTCTTTGCCTCTTCTTGAAACCCAATTTTATCTAAAAACCTCTCCCTCCCTTCACAATTTCAGCAACTTCTGAATTAATCTAGAACCTTAACTCAAATCATGACACTAATTTTAAGCCTAAAACGAAAAGTCATATTCTGAAAAGAAAAGTTTCGAAAAAAGTTGAAAATTCCAGCAAAGTCTTTTTAACGATTATCCCTTGGAAATCAAGACGAGGGCGAAGAGTATGAGAAAGGAAGGGAGGTTTTAGTCAATGATTAAAAAAAATACAAGAGTATGGAAATCAAGACGAGGCCTAAAATACAAGAAGAGTATTTTAGGAATTTAAAAAAAAAATACCAATCGCATGATATTACATGTAAATGGAGTGTGAAAGAAAATTAAAAGCAAGGAAGGTTTTAGATAATTATCAGAAATAGTAGGGATAATTTAAGACAATATATAAACAATAAAAGTAGAATTAATTAATTAACAAAACCTTAAAAAAATTGCCAGAAAAAATCTGGATTCTATTTGAGGTTTTAATCAATCGATGGCTACAAACGGCCGTGTAAAATGTTATCGAGGGCCCCTGTCAAATTTTAACCATTTATTTCTCTTTTATTGCAAGCCATAAAGTTTGAATCCATTTCTCTAGATTAAAAGAATATGCCCACCATATCATGCTTCAGCTAGTTATCAACTTTATCATGATTATGTTCTTTTCATAGGCACTTGACAAGATTATGTGGACATTAAATTTTAATCTTCAGACATTTTTCTCTTCTTAGATCATGTCCAAAAATTAAAAAAAATGATTATTAGAATTTATATGTTTATGAATATTAAGAATTATACTAGTTTGCATTAAACAAAAGACTGACAAAACAGCATTCATGTATAAAACTTGGATTATGATGATGATGAATTACTAGGAATTAAAATACACATTTATTATTCTACAACTTTAACATGTTTCAAGTGTATTTTGGTAGTTCATATGAGACTTGGATTAGTGTTATTGATGTTTCAAGTGTATCGATGCATATACCAAAATTTCCATTGAATTTATGTCTCTTAAAATTGTTTTTCCCCGTACTTTGAACCTTGGCCGAGGTCCTATTCTCACAAAGTCTAATTTGTCCTGCGTGAACCAAAATCCTTGAGATAGCTATCGGCAGACATCTATTAGAAGAAACCTGATGCATGAACTGAAGAAAATTTCTGGTGTTCAGTGGAGAGAACTCACTAAAATTATCAGCAGTATTACTTCGAGAATTTGCCAGGTATAGGGGCTACTGATTAAACAAGGGGTGGTAACCCACCACCCTCTCATCTCTGATGAAAAAGTGGGATTCAATCCTAGGTCTCCACTACAACCAACAGGAGACTTTGCAAGTTGATTTTAATGCGTTTAACCTCCAAGCTAGATCCATTCAATTGGAGTCCAGATTTTCAGAACATGTTATATAGACATCAAGGGTCAAAGGTATCAGAACGCAAATAATATGGGAAAGGCAATTCTAAGGGACATGTCACAATATGATTTAGATGCACATTGATACCATGGAAAAATTAAGATATACATGCGTAAGTTAGGAAAACTCGAATAACTCCCAAAAAATATATATATTTTAGCACAAAATGTAAGTTTTAGATGACAATAAATAAGCTATACACATTGGAAAGACATGAATAGCACATGTGAAGTGTAAACTATGGGAACACACTTGGTAAATGTTAACAAATGACTAAAGAACTAAAATATGCATATCAGTATTCTCTCAATTCTAAAAAAAAATCATATAATGTGTGTTAATATTTATAGTATGTAAATATTAATAATTAATTTTTTAACATTTATTGGTAAACATCCACTAAGAATAGAAAATTTCTAAACAGTTGAGATTCAAAATACATGTTACTATAATAAGTAATTGGAGCATGGCATAATGATGGATTATTGTCTTTTTTCACTTACAAGACTCCATGTTTTAGTTCTAGCTATTACTCACAAACATGGTAGGAGTTATGGAGGTATGGAGTTTAGACCAACTTGGAAATTCTAAATGTTTCAAGCTTGTAGGAGTAGCAATTTAGAATTTAAACAACTCATACCTATAAACATTAAGTCAAATTTGCATTAATAAAAACTAACCAGCTTCAAATATACAATCCAAAAATGAAGAACTCACCTGTCACCTCCAACTATCGTTAAATCCAAAAAAATGGATAGCAGGAGAGTTTTTTATTAGAAACAACAAGAACAATAGAACGGACAAAGAGGAGTACCTCCAGCATCCGACATCCCAATCCCCAACTTTTCTTCAGTATAAATAGCAAGCCCATCCTCTGTTCTCTTTCTTGGTCGAGATGGAGGATCAACAAAGCCCATCCTTTTTAGAAACTTTACCCTCCTTCTTCTTCTTCTTCTTTTTTCTTTAGGTTAGAAGTAACATCTTCTGTTGGTTTCTCAGCATGTTCCTTCAATATTCTTCCTTTTTTCCTTGTTGGAGAAGACCTCATCAATCTCATGTCCAAGCTTTTTCCTTGCAGGTTTTAGATTTTCCTGTTTCAACACAAGTTCATCCTCTTTCATTGGAAGTCACTTTTTAGTTGAATTTTGAGATTTCTCGGTTGAGCCTATTTTGGGCATGGATGAAGTCAACAACTGCTTATCTAATTGTTTATCATAATGTGATATAGGTAAAGCAGAAAAAAAAATAAGACCAGAAACTTGATGCTTCAGCAGCCGGATCCTCCCAACTTTATTTCTACTGTATGGAACCATATATCTGAAAATGAAATTTAGCGAGTCAAATTTGCAACTAAGAGCACAAACAAGATTTTCCATTTTCACATACCATATCACTTTTTGTCAAGCCACCCATTTTTTCTTTTTTTTTTCTAATAGAATGGGAAAAACACAAGTACATAACAACTAAGTGTACCTTTTGCTTTGTTTTATCAGTTCAAGTGTACCTTTTTTGATGAATTGTTTCAGTAATCTGTTTTTGTAGCTATGTCCGACACTTTCATCATTGATAAACCCTGTTGTAATATAAAGAGATGTTACAAGGTTAAGGGTGTTAACACATTATGAGTTTTGAGGGCATTTGCTATGGTTATTTTCTTAAAGTTGAAAGATTTGAGAATAGGCGTCTTCTAATACATATGGTACATGTATATCCCCCATGGTACAGAGCTTTGGTGTACAGTACAGGGATGTGATGTAATCTTTCTAGACATACAAAAACTTAAATACTACAATACCTTGGTTGTGAGAGAGAGAGAGAGAAACCTGAATACATCTCACTCTTTTTACAAACTTGTGCTCAAGTCAAAACCAGTAATAATCTACTGTTTGGTATCAGATGGGTTCGGGGAGATGGAAACAGCAGATATCAACACCACAGCCAGGCACTTATGTTTTGCTTTTGTTTTTTTTTTTTTTTGCTTCTTGCATTAAGAAATAAGCTAAGGGTTCCTACAGATATCCTCGTTACCTAAGGAGTTAAATCTAGTTTGTGCAGGTCTTTGGATCTACTTATGGTTTCTTTTATCTACTTGTGAAATCCATTGGTGCACTTGAGCACTTGGAATTCTGATTCAAGCAATAGGAAAGAGGTAGATTTAGAGATCAGACTGGAAGCTGGGGAGTTTTATTCCCGTCATTTAGGATGAACTGCAGAATCCAAAAAAGAGGAAGACACCCAGAGAGTAACAGAATCCAAAATAGTACAGGGACTTTTTGTTGATTGTCAAATGAGACAATGGAGTAGGGACTAGGGAAGGCTAATTTTGTTGAGAGCCATCCTGAATTTCAAATTACCATCCTGGGCTCAGACTGAATTCACTCTGAGGGGCCAGACATAGGGGTGCAACTTGGATTTGGCCTTGGCCAACCCAGACCCAATCAAATCCAGGAGGAAAAGGTATTGGGTTAGGTTGGCTTGCGTTGCGAACCTGATGTATTACACTAGTAATGCATATGATTTTTATGTATCACAAATATTGTCACATGATTTTTATGTATTATTTTCATATTTAATGCGTGCTTGCATGACTATGATAGTTTGTATGTTTTCTTGCATATCTTATGTTAATTTAGTAGATAAGGTTCCAACCAAAACACAACCTGACCAACCATTAGATTGGGGTACAGTTAGGCTTTTAACACATAAGGTTGGGCTAGGATTAACCTCAACCGCAGCCAACTTGGCCTTAGATGCACACCTAGCTAGATATTTGCTCTAAAATTGTGGACCTGCTGGCTGAAAGTGAAAACACTCCAAGCCAAACTAGTAATTTAAAAGTGCAAGGGCCTAAATGTACCTGAGGCACAAGGCTCAAGGTGAGGCGTGTGCCTTTTTTTGAAGCAGGTGCATTTTTTTAAAAAATAAAGTACATAATTGAAAAAAAAAACAGATATATGTGAACTTTAAAATAAATTAAATTAAGCAAAAGGCCAATATGTTAATATAAAAAAATGATAGACATGAGCATCAGTACAGTCCAAGAATACAAATTACAAAATATAAACTATAATAAGCAGTTGTGTATCCATTCTTGAAGTCTCATTCATCATTTTCTTCATCTTCACTTGAAAATTCAATTTCATTTTCATAATCATCTGATCTGTAGTCATCAATATTCTCTTCTTCCAACTCTTCAACTCCAGAAGAAAGTGCACCATCTCCATCTCCTTGTGTCAATGAATCATTATCAAACACCAAATCATTTTTTGCCCCACCACCATCAGATGCCATCTCTCCCAATAACCATTCATTGTTCTCATCTAAATCTTTTAAAGAAATGGGATCAATAATACTATGTGAGTTGAAACTTTCTTTGAGCATTTGGTTAAACCTAACGAACACCAAGTCATTTAATCGCTTTTGATCCAATTGGTTTCTTTTTCTGGTATGAATCTGTTAACTCATAAAAAAGTATAGGATTATCAGAAGCACAGAATTTAAGTGTAAACATAAGATTAAATATTAAAAAAAGACAAGCATAGTAGTTTTGTTTTGACATACATGCTCAAACACACTCCAATTTCGCTCATAACCAGATGCACTACATGTTAAACTTAGAATTTTGACAGCAATTTTCTGTAAATTTGGAGTTGAAGCACCAAATGTAATCCACCAATCAGCTGAAAAAATATAAATAATAACCAAATTAGTAAATTGACTAAATAAAAATATTAACGATTAGTTATTATAATATTAAGTAAATGTTATTACTCACCTGGTTCTTTTTTCTTCCTCTGACAAATGGCCATATTAAAACCAAAAATGCCCTCTGCATTCTTATATTTAGATAATTCATCAATGATTAAGCTTGCCTTGTCCCTGTCTTTTTCAAGCATTTGGATTACTTTATAAAGCCCACTTACAATCTCTTCGTCCGTATCAGTTTTCTCTGCATTATCATAATAAAATTGTGGATTCAAATAGAAACCAGCTGCATGCAATGGTTGGTGAAGTTGGCACTCCCACCTCTTATCAATAATCTCAAAAATGCTTTCATATTTTTCCTTGTTACCACCAAATGCATTAGCAATGGTCTCCTTTGCCCTATCCATAGCCTCATAAATATGACCCATAGATGGCTTATTTTCACGATCTACCAAACGTAAGACGTGAATAAGAGGATTACACACCTTAATTATAAAGATGATATTATTCCAAAATGAGGGCATCATGACTGTCTCCCTTACCATTCTACCTTTCACTTCTTTTACTCATTTGCTATCACTCCATTCCTTTGAATTGAATAAATCCCACAAGTTCTTCTTTTGTTCATATATACATTGCAATGTAAGAAAAGAGGTAGCAAAACGAGTTTTTGCTGGTCTAAGCAATTCCTTTTGGCTTGTAAACTTCCTCATTAGGTTCAGTAAGCCAGGGTGGTTATAAATGTACCCCGTCAATGCTATTGCCTTCTCAAGTGTTCTCTTGACAACGGGTAGCTTCCCAATGTCTTCTAATATCAAATTTAGACAATTGGTAGCACACGGAGTCCACATTAGATGAGGATACTTCACCATCAAAAACTTCCCTAATAATACAACATAACAATTTAAAAAACAAGAACTCAATAACTATTGCCAAACATGTGAAATGCTGAAGGAAAGTTATTGAAAATGAATAAAAATAGTAATTAAGTAATAAAACTTACTAGCCAAAACATAATTTGGCGCATTATTTGTAACAACTTGAAGTACATTCTTCTCCCCAATTTTTTGAACCATCTTATCAAGTAAAGTAAACAATTTCTCAGCCCTCTTTACATCACTTGAAGCATCAATGTTTTCTACGAACATAGTCCCAGCACGACTATGAACCAAAAAATTTATGAGGGCCCTATCTTCCCTATCAGTCCACCCATCAAGGATAAGAGAACAACCCCACCTTTCCCACGTCTCCTTATGATGTTGTAGCAATGTCTTAGTGTAATCCACCTCCTTTTTTAAAAAAGGAACCCGCAATTCATGGTAACTTGGGATCTTTAATCCTGGTCCATATTGCCCAATTGCTTCTACCATGGCTTCAAAACTTTTCAAGCAAATGGTATTTAAAGGAATACCGGTTTGGTAAAACCATCTAGCAATACGTATAGAGACTAGCTCTCTCCATTCTTTATTATGTGTATCATTGATGGTGTTTTACTTTATTCTTTTCTTAACTCTTCTCATATCCACGACCTGTTCTGGGCTAGGTGTGGTCAAAAATCCATCCAAAAGACCCTATTGTCGTTTTATGGTTAGTCTGGAACATGATCCACTAGAGGCAAAAGGACTAGAACCTACTATTGGATTTGCATTTTCATTACCACTACCAGTAGGTGTAGATACATATTTTCCATGCTTACCACCACCAAGGCCTTGAACCTCCTCACCTAACTCATCTTCATCTTTAATTACATTTTCATAGTCATTATTGTCCTCTTCTTGCATTCCAACCATGCCATCTTTCTTGGATTTTTTTCTTTGCATGTATGTTAAAACCTCTTCTCTAACATCTTTGGGTCACTTGTTACATTTTTTAGCATTTCTCCTACCACCAACAATGTGCTCCTTTGCTCTAAATATTCCTCCATTTGTCACTTTTTCACAAAATTTACAAGTGACAGATTTAGTGTTCTTGGGATCTCACAAATAACAATACTTCCAAGCTGGATCTTTTCTATTGCTCTTCTGAGTATTGCCATCCATCTCTAGACTCAACTTGATAAAGAAGCCTAACTTAACTCTTTGAAGGTCTATAAGAAAATAAAAACTAAATTAGTTATCAATCTAAATTAAAAATAGAAATATGCAATTGTTTATTGTCATTTAATAAGAAATTGCACTAGCATGTTCAAATCAGAAATTTAAAATAGATTTTATGAGTTGCAACCATCAATAATCAAATCCGAATAAAATAAATTAAATAATTCAAAAATAAAACGAGTTATCTAATTATCCAAAACCAATATCAAATCCAAATGCCAAATCAAGACTGTCAAGTAGAAAATTCAATTCCAAAATCCCAAATCCAACTTCTAGCATGTATTTTTTTTTTTTTTTTTGATAGATAACTTCTAGCATGTATATTGAATATGGACTTTGTCTCTATTCACTATCACAATTAATTTGTTAAACATAACAAGCTACAAACTTACCTAGGAATTCCATACAAAAACAGCAAACCATGAAAGAAAAAAAAATGGGAAATAAATGTGTTTGTGTTTTTACCTGGATGTGAATCCACAATAAATTCTGTAACTATCACAACTCACAGCTCACAGGATTAACACTGAATAACAAATAATATAAACTGTATTATTTTTTTATCAATAATAATATAAACTGTACTAGATCTTTCTCAACTATCAAACCCATATAATGAAGGAGGAAAAAGGGCACTGATTTAGCGAATTTGCATTTGCATGCAAAACAGCAACTAGTATAAACAAAAACATGGGGTAGAGCCCCTGTTTTGGTGTCAAAAATAGAGGGAAAATAGATGGGTTAGAATAAGAAAGAAGAATGGGGTGGAGCTCCCATTTTGTATTCAAAAGCAGAAGGGAAAAAGAAAGGGAAATCAAATGGGAAAAAAGAATCGAGCAAAGCCTATTTTGGCGTGAAAATCAAAGAGGAAATCAGGCAGCGCCCTTTTTTAGCATAAAAAATATAGGAGAAATAAGAAGAAAATGAATGGGGTGGAGACACTGTTTTGTTGTTAAAAAAAGGGGGGAAGGAATGGAGCAAAACGCCTGTTTTGATGTAAAAACAAAGGGAAGATAGATGGAAATTAAAAAGGAGAATGGGGCAAAGCCATTGTTTTGGCATTAAAATCAGTGGGTAAATAAAGAAAAGAAAAGGACACATACACACTTTTAGAATTTGGATTGAATCAATTCAGCCACTGCATTGCTAGTATCTTCTTCACACTCAGGCTTGCCAGCCTCAAGCTTACTTCTCTTTCTCACTTGGTCTATCACTTTATTTAGTGCTCTAAGCCTCTAACTACCTTTACCAGGCCATATATCAAAAACTTTAGGGAAAACAGCTTTAATACATCATGAATATTGTATAAAAAACATAAAATTTGAATACATAATACAGCATTATTAAGACACTCGCCTTGGCCACCTAGCACCCTGCCCGAGGCAAACACCTAGTTGCTGACTGCTGAGACAAGTGCTTTATCTAATTCCCTGTGCCTTGACACAAGCAAGGCATGCTGCTTGAAAAGCACCTCACTTCTGACCTTAGGCGCGCCTTTTAAATCACTAAGTCCAACAAGTGCAAGTCCAAAAGATAGAGTTTACATATTACTCTGTCATTGATCTAGATCCTTTAGATAAGACATATGTTGGGCATGATTGTGAAGTAGATCTCAAACTGATGAGAAAAAGTTCCACTCGTGTGAAGAAAACTTGCCAAATCACCACCATTTAAAGAAACAGTTCAGAAGGCATTGTATGCATGATAGACATAAGCTTTTATAAATTCCAAACCAAACTAATAAGGGACAAGTCAAAGTTGGAAATGTAAGGATGCATCTTCCTAATCTATATATATATATATATATATATATATATATATATATATATATATATATATACATATATATATATATATATGCTACTTCTAAATTATAATACTTAATAATGACAATATATAAAAATAACTACAAAATATTTACATTAATTACCTCCATCATAGTTGTTGAAGAAAAGAAGTAAAAGAGAAGAATGTTACAGAATTAGAAAAAGGAAAAGTATCGCTTAATAAAGTTCCAAGTTTGTTATTAAACAACTATACTATCGTTTCTCAATCACTCCAAGATCAACAAAGCCACATAGATCAAATTAAAGGAAAGTGGACGTAAACATTTAATTATGTTCTCTCTCCATCTATAGGCCAAAATTGAAAAGGGGAAGTATGCAGAGCAAATTATTCAAAGGAGTTAAGAAACTGTAGACTTCCTTAGTGGAGAAAATACACAATTCAACAATCTCTTGCATAGGAAAAAGATTAATATTTAGAAGGAAATAATAAGATTGGACATGAATTAAAGAAAGATGATCTACTTGACACAAACAAACCATTCTTGGTTTCCATCTAAAGAAAATACATGAAATTTACCATAATATATGTAAATCCAAATCAAGTTGCTCAAAAAAATGCAAAATAAAATTTTGAATTTCAAGTAAGAGATATATTTAAAAAGCACAAGCAAAAATAATGGGCTTATTTTTTTAACACACAATTGATAGCAAAAGCATTCTGGTTTTGACCATACATCCAACAGCTTCATTATATCCAAAAAACCTTAGATAAAATTGAAAAAAGGACATACAGCTTTACCACACATGATAAATTTCACTAATTGATTATTCTTATTTTCTCTAAATCGAACTAAGTTCACATTAAAGATAAATAGGCAGTTAATTAACTAGGAATTTTATTATTTCTGTTAGAATTCAATTACCTAGTTCGAAATCTGGAGTTATATCATGCAACATTAAAGCAGTCTTTATGCATTTGAAGAAAATAAAGTTAAAAAAAAAAAGAACCAAGTTCAGACAGAAACATATGGTAATGAGAAGACAGAAAGAAAGAAACGTCTAAACGTGAAAAAAAAATTAAAAAAAAAAAGTAACAGAGAAATGTCAAATGAATTGAGGATAAGGAGTAACCTTCCACCGGGTACATTAGGAAGGAACCCTGCAGATATCTCACAATCCCTTTCCATAAATACCCATCACTAATTTCCATTAAGCTTTGTCCATAAATTATACAAAAAAATATTAAAATATAAAAATAAAAACAGTAGAAAGCCTAGAAATAACTACTGAGACAATCGTCCATAAGGTGATACTGGGTTATTGTTCACCTTTTTTCCGATAAAGAAGAAATCTGGAATCGCTCGTTAAGTATTAATTTTGGTCCTTCCTCTTCATCTCTTTCCTTCAGGAACGATCTTCTTCCTCTCTTCGTCTTCCACGTCCCTTTTCCAATTAACCTAAAATCAGAAGGAAACGATTACAAGAGCTATTAAGCATTAACCAACGGCGGGCAATCAAAATTCAAAAGCAAGCAGATTTTTCTATTGTTTTCCTTCACGCAGATAGTGAGGAGGACGAGAGCAAGCAAATAGAGAGAATGGGGGGAAAGAGTTAACCTGCTTCACGTAGAAAATGCTTCTGTGAGCGTGAGTAGTAATGCATATAGAATACCGAAGAAGCAGGGTTAGGATCTTCGCGAGGCCGAGAGACAGGGGGACAAGAAGGGTTTATGCCTAGTAGCAAAAGAACCAATAAAAAGGTTTTAGGCCTTCCCGCTCTTTTCCTCTGCTGTTGCTTCATAATACATACATGATTATCCAATCAGATTCCTCCACCTGTCATAACTGCAACCGACAACTCATTTGGTTGGTTCTTTTTGGGATTTAAATTACATATAAATACCTATAATTTGGGTAATGCCTAAACTTTTAAATGCAACACTTGAACATCCTGAACTCTAAAAATAAAAGAACTTGGTCTAGCGTCACTAACCAACATTACGGTGTGCTGTAAATTTAATGAAATTATATACCTAAGTCCATTAATTGTATTTAGGATAAATTATAAAGAACTCCCTTATAAGATCAGTGACAAAGTCCCTCCTTATACCTTTTTTTGCAACAAAGACCCCCTGACCGTTAGACAATGACCCCTTCTGTTACATTCTATTTGTTAACTTTGAAAAAGATTCTCATTTGAACGTTTAAAATTTTTTAAATGCACAAACTACCCTTTATATTGTTCATTGTCTTCTTGATTGAACCTCAAGCACTTCTATTTGTTTGCTCGCTTGCTATACTAAGAGTCATGAGAATTTGGGGTGGAAGTAATTGAGGTTATTTTGCAGGGAATGGATGCAAAAGAGGTCGTAAAAGCTTGTATCATTCAAGATGAACAACAAGAGCGAGAGAAGCACGAGAAGGGAAAGGAAGGAAGCAACTCATTTTCCTCTACCACACCATTGTATGCATCGTCTCCAACGTTGGAGAGTAGGGAGGTGAACTGGTCCATGGACCCTTTGGCACAACAGAAGCGGTGCCACTACCACAAGGCCAACGGGGTTGCAACAGAGTGGGAAACGGTGGCGATGGGGCGACGTTGAACATTGAAAAAGAAATCCAACTGATGTTTCTCTTCACTCAACTTTATCCATCACCATCGACAAAGGGGAGCTGTCCAAACCCGCACAGCTGATGTTTGGGCGACGTTGAAAAAGAAATCCAACTGATGTTTCCACCCATAAATAGTTTGACAGGGAGAGTGGGAAACGACATAGGGGCGACGTTGAAAAAGAAATCCAACGTCTTCCTCCACCAGCTTCCGCACATGGGCGACGACTTAACCTGCTCTCCCTCCTTATGCCCATTATAGCAGCAGTATCAGGGCACGCCGCTGCTGCTGGGTTCATGCTTGTGCTTAGCCACGACTACGTCTTGATGAGGAAGGACAGGGGGTCCTCTACATGAGCAAGCTCAACATCGGGCATACCCTTTTCCGACTACTTCATGGCGTTGTTGAAAGAAAAAATTTAATCGCGATGGCTCGGCGCAACGTGGTTCTGCATGCTGCGAAGATGAAGGCCGAGGAGGCGATCAAAATGGGATCATAGACTCGACACACAATAGCGTGGTGGAAATTGTAGAGGCCGCATTGCACATGGGTGAGAAGTTGGCCTTGGCCGCTAGGAAGTGGGATAGTGGGGTTTATGCCAAGATACAGAAGTCGACATTTTTGGAACTCTGTAAAGTGCTCGGGCTACAGAGGAGACCAGCAATCAAAACAGATATCTATTTCCTAGGTTAAATAGGTTTTGAGAGAAAAAAGGGTAAGAAAAAGAAAATAGAAAAAAATTAGTGAAATATTTTAGTAATTTAATGTTTTTGATCATCTGACTTAACATTGAAGGGGGTCTTTATCTAATGCTAAAGTTCAGGGGGGTCTTTATTGCAAAAAAAAAGTACAGGGGGACTTTGTCACTAACCCCATAGTACAAGGGGGGTCTTTGTAATTTACCCTTGTATTTATATTAGAATTTGGTTTATTGGTTCACCTCAGTGAAAAAAGAAAAATTAAAACAAACATGAAAAAAAAATTATACTCTTTAAATACTCTTAGTATAAAAGGGTGTCATGATCCAATGGGCTTTAGGGCAACAAACCCTGAACTTGAATAATGATAAAGAATCAAAGCCCTGCCTCAATCCTATAGGATAGGATAAACCCGAATTAACTGCTTAACCCGACCCATTAGCATTCATATCCCTAGTTCAAGTCAAGGTAGTGTATTATTTTCTCTGATATCAAACAGTTAAGCAGTTCACAACAAAATAAAAATAAACTAAAACAAAAACCACAATGGCTTTGTGATGAAAGTTTTAAATTGTAAATCTGGTAATAAAAAACAAGACTTTGGCCAATAGAAGTGGAATTTGAGTTTTTTCTTGTTGGCATATTCAAACACACATACAGACAAGCAAAGTTTCCACTTGGAAAAGCGGGAGAATTGGTGAATTGCGCATTTTTCTAGTTTAACACACCTACGTGCCATTGACACCACATAGGACAACTCATTAGCAATTTCTCAAAATACATGATAATAGGCATGAACTAGAGCCTTGGATGAAGGGATGAACTGATCTCTCTCTCTATCTCTCTCTCTCGATGCAGGCTGATATATACCATGCATACTGATACACATCAGCTAGTACATCTCAACACTTTGCTTACAGCTTATTCAACCATGGCAAAGAAGAAAATTAAAACATGTGTTACTCCATAGTACGGGGCGGGGGGAGCGCAGAGAGAGAGAAGTTTGGAATTTCTCATCTCAAATGACCGACATGCCAATTGCCAAAAGACTTGGCCAAATCTAGTATTAAAGGCAAATGTTGGCCACCAAGAGTCACTTGAGGCCCTTTTTCATTAATACCCTGAGAAAAAGGACAATACACCAGTTATACTTTGGTAAATACAAATACCTGTTATTTGTCTGTTGAGTCTGTACCAAAATGTATTGACAAGAAAGGCCCTCGAGGGGCACATTTTCCTCAATGTGGGACAGGCCAATGAACACCATGACCCTCTCCATCATTTATCAATTTATGTAGAACATAAAGCCCACCTTAGAAAACTATACGACTAGAAAGCAATCAGATTGCAATAATACTTGGGTAACAAACTTCAGCTTATCAGCTGCTATATTCAGTTCAACACAATTTCCAGAAGTCCAAAGACGGGAATGCCCATGCCCAACATAATTATATACCACCAATATGTCCTTTGCCTTTTTCTTTTTACAGATAACCAGGGACTGGATATGGTGTTTCAAACTCCATGTGATCATGCAGCCTGCAGGCTTGCAACTTCATGTACCCACTGACCATAACTCATAAGCATATTCCCTGGTCCACTCCAGGAAGAGGAAGCCAAATCAAGTGGAGCAGCAGGTGCTCTTTTGATTGAGTGGCTGCCCACGCATTTGCACGGTTGCTGGTCTGTTGACATTTGTTGCTGGTTGACTTGCCATCCTATAACAGAAAAAGAAAAATATAATTCAGGATAATTGGGGAACAATATTGGATAATGTCATTCTACTTTGTATACTTCTTAAAAATCTGAACTGGATCATTCTAGGTGGTATGGCCTCAAGGAGAAGAAACTCCTAAGTTCTAACACAACCTAATCAGAATAAGCAGTCAACCCACTTATTGTTTGTTGCTGTGCATGTTCTAATCTGACAGTGTCAGAGAGACCCGACTATTCATCAGACAGTTTGCAATCCCAACAGTCACTTCAAGATGGAAAAGAAAGAAGTTATTGATCCAAAAAAATTTGATATCAACTCTGCCACATTGAATGCCCTTCCGAACTACCCAAAAAATATGTACCATGGTTGAAAGAGAAATTAGAGGAAAAAAAAGGAACTTACCTGTTCTTTATCTCTGCAGTCATGGTCATAAATGCTTGCTCAACGTTAGTGGCGTTCTTAGCACTTGCTTCCAAGAATGGGATGCCTATCTCATCTGCAAATGCCTTAAGATGTAGCAAAATGAAAAGCACAAATTAGATCCTCATTAAGTACAAGAAACAATGTCAGTAACATTATCCTACCTTCGCAGTTTCATAGGAAACAACTTTATTAGTAGTTAAATCACACTTGTTTCCAATTAAAAGCTTGTTCACATTTTCACTGGCATATCGGTCAATCTCACTCAACCATTGCTTGACATTTTTGAAGCTTTCTTGGTCCGTGACATCATAGACAATCTGGCAAAAAAGAGTAGTACATGCACTGTAACATCTGGTATCAAAAAGGGGGAAAACCACTGCAAGAAGCATATCAACTTACAATAATGCCATGTGCACCACGGTAGTAACTGCTTGTAATTGTCCGGAAACGTTCTTGGCCAGCAGTATCCCACTAAAGCAAGAAGGAATGAATATTTAACCATCAGGACTGGATACTGGATAGTATTATTGTGCAAATCTAGAACCAAAAATTAGTAAGGTACTTACTATTTGGAGTTTTATTGTCTTTCCATCCTGCTCTACAGTGCGGATTTTCTAAAAGAAAGAGAAGTTACAAGAAGTTGAAGATAATAACAGAGGTACAGAAGATGGCAGCAAATTTTTGAAATGCATGTCAGCATACTTACAAAATCAACACCAATAGTACTGATGTAACTATCTAAATACGAATCATCCTACACAGCACACAAAGTAATCAGCAATTACAAGTACATGCACACACTATGTCTGATATTATGCTCCTCCCAATAATTTTACAGCTTTCTTCTTTTTTGATTTTCATTTAAATTGCCAATTATTTCCTCTTTTATTCCTTATAAAAGACACTTCACCCTTTCAACATTGCTAGCCATCCTCTCACAGAAAAGAAAAAGATAAAAGAAAAAAAAAAGAAGGGGGAAGGGCATCTCTCCCCTTCACTGTTTTGCAAAGAAACAGAGTAAACAAAAACATGAATCTGTACCGCAAATCGCAATAGAAGGCATGACTTGCCAACACCAGAATCTCCAATAAGCAGAAGCTTGAAAAGATAGTCACTGTAAAACATCAATTGGGAAGAACATGTATGCTTTGAGTTACACCCAGGATAGACTTTAAAAAGAAAATTTCAAGGTACAACTGCAATACTACATATATAACCATGCAAACACTAACAATAGATCTTAAAAAAGCATGACCTATATCTTTCTTGGTATAAACTTTATAATTAAGAAACACCGGCAAGAAAGTTTTACTGCTCTACTGGCCTAATGTTTAATAGCTTCAATATTTAAACTTCAGAATAATAAGAAAAGGTTCAGAATAACAAATTAACAATATCAAAAGAAATTTCTTGCAACGGGAACTACTTAAAAACAATCTACGCTTGTGAACCATATAGGTCTAAACAAAAGCCCCCCAACTGCAACCAAAGAACGAGGGATGTTACAGTGAAACTAGCATGCAACACATGGGTGGAATCCAACTTTGCTACCCTGCAACAAGACAAAAGATTTCATTTGATGATTTGTTCTTTCTATCTCAGCATCACTTTCAAGATATAATGAATTCTTAGCTCTCAACCGACATCAAAGTAAGTCATCCATCCAACCAAGATAATCCATAGTCCACAACCCTCATACAAGAGGTTTAACTTGATGCGTTTTTTTTTTCCATCTTAGAATCATTTTTAAGATAAAATGAACTCTCAAACAACCTCAAGGTTAGTCATCTATCCAACCAAAGTAATCTACAATCCACAATTCCCAAAATAAATTTCTCTGGTTCACCAATAACTAAGGGGCTACTTTGGAACTTCGGAGGCGTAGAAAATTTGAGCACATGCATTCTTTTGAATATCCATGTTTCTTTTGAATGGGACTGAAATAAAAACACAGACAGACCAAAATAGAATACGAAAAAGTCAACGCATAGAAGCACATCACTGTCCTCCTAGCTAGTTTCATCACTGAGTCAAATTTAAAATGCAGTGGAAGACGAACCTATTAAATAAAGGGAAAAAGAAAAATATTATGATTCTTTTCTAGGTCAGGTCGAATTTATACTTGAGTAGAGGGAGAGAAATCACATGAAAAGGTCCAAAGATTGATTTACGCAACCTTGAACTTCGGATTTATCAATCATCTTGAATCAGCAGGCTTGAAGTCAACTTGACTCGAAGGAATCAAGGAGTCAACTTTGGGAAGCAATGGTTGATGATATAATACTGAGTTACCTTAGTGCTCATGTGACATCAAGCACAATAACAGGGGATTCCTCAAAAGTTGGATGTAGAAGTACCCCAGCAATTTTAACTTCAAAATTCATGGCTATCAGAAGGCTTTATAGTTATTTTGTATTTATTCTATTAGTGAAGGTGATTTTTTTCATCCATTACCTGCTTCCAAAAGACTCCAATAGGTCCACAGTGCTTGGTATATGTCATTGATCTAAACATGAAATTCAGCACAACTTTCTATTTTCATAGGAATATCCAAGATAACCAGTAGGAAGGCTGTCGCAATGATGACATGAAGAGGTTAAGGTATCTTGAGACTCCTGCTATCATGTGAAGTATACTCCTGCTAACTTAGGTGATCCTTTCCAGTTTAGTGGTACTATCCTGCTTACTTTTCAGTAGAACCTCACCATTTTAAGAAAATATATAAACCAAATTGTTTACTAGGGGGCATATGCATTAACATCCAGAAATACTAAGATCATGCTTCACCCTTCCGAGACAAAGTAACTTATTCCCTTTCTAACTGCTCGTATTCACAAAGTTTTTTTATTATTACATAACCACAAGGTTTTAACAGCAGCATTTCTTACAATATAGGTTTGCATATGTTCTATTTGGGAAAAAACTAGGATATTGCCAGGAGGCCCAGGAGTAAAGAATAACAGATTATTATTGCAAATAGAACATACATAAACTTACTATTTAGCCATTAGTACTGGATACTGGTGGGAGTTTTGTATCAGATTTTGGGATGCAAAATTTTTGTTCCAATGAGCACAAATAAAGTAAAAAGTGCAAATTATCAGGTTGGGATGCAAATCACCACTGCAAACAAACATGTGTAAAATTAAATCGGGTGCAAGTTTTGCACCCGGTAAGGATTTGCATTGCAAACACACTGAGACATAAATAGAAATATTTTCTTGAACCATATAAAAAACTATAATACCATGTAAGTTTTACCCATTACCCATAATGGAATCCAAACAATGGCAAAAGATTGATCCTTCATTTAACTAAAACATAAGTCCACCATGGAATTAAACAAACTCAGTTCATAAGAATTTACAAGCCATGGTGTCTTCTTAAAGAAGATTCAGTGTCAAATCATAAATGACATGAACAATGAATCTATGAGATCTCAGTCATTTGGTCATCATTGTTCCAATATCAAACCTGTCTCTTCAGGACTCCTTGATAGGTTTATCAACTAAAGTAAGAAGTTAGGACATGGTGAAACTTAATTGATGCAATATATCCGGTTCATATCTGCATGTATATTGAAACATGAAGGCCTTAAAGCTATGACTAAATCATGTATTAAAAAAAAAAAAAAAAAAACGGGCACCAATATCAACATGAAAAGAATTTATTCTTCTCCTGCTTGGGTCCATGATATGCAATTAGAGAAACCTGGTTCTTAAGTTAAAATTGGGTAACATACTTGACCAATACACCAAATGCCTTACTTTGGAACATGTCAAGCCGAACTGTTTAACCGTTGGGATCAAAACATACCACACTTCCACAGCCGACATTCCAACGGCTCTCACTCTAGTGGCAGGCAGCCCTTTCCTTTTGGTAGCTTTTCACTCTGCTCCAGGTAGCCCTTTCTGTGATTCAAACCTAGGATGTAGGGTAACTCTAATACCAACTGTTCCATACTTGACCAATATGCAATGAGTCTCAAGAATGTTGGAAAGCATCAAGTCAAGCTGTTTAACCTTTAGGGTTGTAACAAATTGATTGGTACAGAAAATCTTTATAATACTTTGAAAAAATTATTACACATTATACAATATAAATTATTTTAACTTTGTAGTGTTGGTTTGCATTGATTTATGCTGAGTTTAATTTGTTCTATTGTTATCCATAAACCTAGAATTCTGCCAATCCTATTTCTCTATACTTGACAAGTCCATCTTGCGCAGATGCATGCTCACATTCAAAACTATGGATCAAGGACATTCAGACACCAAAGTTTTCAATCCACATTAAATTTATCAATGGATTTACAGTATTCAAACCAATGAATTCTTCTGATGTGCTCACCAGAATAAGGATGAGAGACAATTTTCCTTCTGTTCATTTCTTCTCCCTCACTACATTGGCGTCCAATCACAAGTTTCACGTTTACATTTTATCTCTGTTCCAATACGATGAATTGCAACAACTCCATGCAGTGTTCCAAACATATATCCAGGCCCCTCATTCAAATGCAATAACCAAACAAGCAATAAAGTACCTTAATTTGCCTCCCAAAAATCTCTGACTGAGGTGCCAAGTACAAACAAAATCTAACCAATTTCTAAAACCATATCAACCCATGCAATTCCTTCGTTGTCCTAATGAAAAAGTTATATGGGATACGAAGCATGTAGTGGAGATAAAGTTATGAGATGATCATATGAAAAAATCTACAAAACAGCCAATCCAGGAGATCAATATCGAAGAAAATAGATTTGCATCAAGCAAATACTATATTCTCGAATTAGAAAAAAAATGGGGAAAGGAGGAAAATCAATAAGCAGAGAACCAGAGACTCGGGTGCAAAAGCAATCGACAAACATAAATTACTCACCAATACCTGAAAACTGAAAAAAACGAAAGAATCCAATCAAAAGGAGAAGCTTACTATTCCGAGTTCATGACTGAAATTTGTACAAGATAGCAGATATATCTGAACTTCAATCGATCGATCAACCCTTCAGAGGTAGTTTTTGTTCATAGAAAATAACTGGAACGAGTAAAATAACAATCTGTTCCGAAACTAGAGAACGTAAACCGAGAAGGATGGGTCCAGACTCAAGAGGACTATTTATACAAAGATCACAGAGGGAAAGAAGGTTGGTCACATTGAATGCTTCGTCACCAAAGCAACATGAATTCCATTTCCACCCAGCTAGCACATTCTTTTCTCCCGGGTTTTTCAATTTAATTTTATTTATTTTTGTGGGCCCAAGCTATTGAAATGTGTCCCCTACCGCTCTCCGTCCGATCGAACGTACGCCGTAACGCGTAATAATGCGTATCCTGATTCCTGATTTCGCTGGCAAACGCGCTAATATGCAAAAGATTTGGAGTGGTCCGACTGGTGAGTGGGAGTACGTCTGAGACGGCTTATGCGTTGACTGAACTGGTGCTTGGCCGTTTTCTCAGAGGTATGTTTTGAGAAAACGGTGCCGGATTGGCATATTATTGTTTTTTCGCAAAATGTTTTATTTTTTGTACGGTGGTTAATTGTTAGGTTGTAAACGGATCGAATTGGAATAGAATCAGTGAATATCTGAATTTAGAAAAATGGATATTCGAATATATTCAATAGAAATTAAAAATTAAAATTCGGTCCAACATTCAATTTGATTTAAAATCAACTAATTAATTATTTTAGGTAATTAATAAATATATAAAATAAATATTTTATTTAGATAAAGTATATAAATATTTTATATAGATTAATTATTTTATATATAAATTGTATAAAACATTTAAATATTCTTTATATTATATACACGAATTAAATAATCAATCAATTTTGGATATTTATCGAATTAAATTCGACTGATTACAACATTTGAATTATCATAATTCAATTCGATTATGTCGAATCTCGAATTCAAAATCAGATTTTCGAATACCGTTGACACTGCTACTAATTGTTGCTAGGGATATTTTTTAGGAAAAAAGTGTGGTCTAAAAGAGTGGATTTCAAATGTGATATCGTTTTTCAAGAAAACGGCATTGATTTCTGATACATGAGATATCTATCAGCTGCTTTGGAAAAATTCCTAATACCTAAAATAACTTCATTGAAAAGTCGGTTTTGTAGCTAATGTGAGTTTATTTTTCATTTTTTTACCAAATAGGACTTCCATGCATTTTGGGTTTTTCACATCATGTAACATCAGAAGCCACTACATGAAAGCTCTCCCAAACAAGTACTTAAGATTCAATTGTGGATTGAAACTTTGACTACTTTTACTGAGCCACTTTGAAGAGGTTACTAGAACAAGCTTTATGCAAAGGCCAAAAATTTGGCTGATTGACAATACATTTGGGCTTTCTAATGCTCTCACCAAGCATAGCTTATGGACATCTATGTGAGGCTTTGTAAACCCAGAAATCGCTGCACAAAGCAAAAGCAAAGTGCCAACCAGCTAGTTGGTAAGGTTTCCTACTGGTCGTAGCGGCAATTTGGGATCGAATTCCGCTTACACCTAGGTTAGGAGTGGGTTACCACCGTTGTGTGGCCCTTCACAATATATTAAAAAAAACCACTACACGAAAGTCCTCCCAAATGGGCACCAGAAGAGGCTCTAAGAGGAAAGCCAAATTTTTTGCCATGCTTCTTTGAGGTTTTCTTAAACATTACTATTACTATTTAGGTGGGACTCACTTTTTAAAGCCAAAACTAGTTTTGGTTAAACTGCTTTGGATAAATGTCTAAATGAAAGGCCTGTTTGGAAAAAGGGAGGATTGAGCTGAAGATTCAGCTAAGCTGGCTCAACTGTTTTCAAGCGTTGTGAATAGTCATAACTTATAGTCTGTCTACGTGGAGATCACTAAGGAAACTAGAAGCTGTCGTGGCTCAGCCCTCTCAGATGGGCAAGAAGCTTCAAGTGAAAACTTAGCTGAAGTCCAAAGAACAGCAAATTTGGGCTTGTGGAGTTCTCATCAAACATTCTAAGTGGGATTTGGACTGGGTGCAATTTGGGTTAGCCCAATTAACATTTTACATCTCTTTAGTCTCGGGCCCATTTAAATTTTTGACAAAAGTCAAATCCAAACCCACCCAAACTCTTCTTTATGGATCGAAGTTATCCCAATCCCTTAATTAACGGAAGATAGTTCTTGAAGGGGATGCGTTCAGCTAAACCTATGTCGTATATTTCAGGTTTCCAATGATTCAAAATATAATATTATTGTGGTTTTTTAAGATATCAAATAACAAAAAAAAAAAGGTTATTGGCATTGTTATAATGTTACTAACTTATTATACACATTGATTTTGGCACTCTTTATCTTTCATGATTGTGTGTGTGTGTTTTTTTTTTTTTTCTAAAGACAAGTAAAAACTATCAAAGAAACATCATACACGAGAGAATTTCCTCATTAAATAAGACCCTTATCCTGTAAGGCTGTATCATTTTCTTCGTTAAGAAACAAAAGTTTATGTCTCGTTTATTTGTTCATGTTATTTTATTTTTTAAGTAAATAAGATAATGACCATTTTAGCCATAAAAATTTATTATTAAAAGAGGTATTTTTGTTTCATCCAAGTAACAACTTTTTCCTTACATGGGAAAGTTATTATCCACTTGGGGTGTCAATTGGATTGGATTTGGTCCAATCTGAGCCAGTCCAATGTGAATCCATTATAAATGGGTCAAGTCAAATCCAATCCAATGAATGTTTTGGACCAATTTGGACCGGTCCAATTCAATGTATGGACCGTCCAATCTGTTCAAATTCATTTTGATTTAGATTGGTTTCAACCCAAACCTGGTCCATTGACACATATTCTTATCTTATATCAATGGACTAGATATTGGCTTAATCCAATCCAATCCAATATAAATTTGTTATGGATGGACAAGGTCTAATCCAATCTAATAAATATTTTGGACCAGATTGGTCCAATCCAATATGTCTTGTTGGTCCGTCCAATTCATCCAAATTGATTTGACTGGACGGGGTCCAATACAAAACCAATCAATTGACACCCTTATATCCACCTAAAAGATAGGTATCCACTAAAATAATTTTTTCTAATCCCCCATAAAAAGAATATAAGTTTCAAAATCTAAAAAAAAACTAACGCCCCCTTTATTATTAAGACTAATCCCCCATAAAAATAATTTTTTCTTGATTAACTAACTTTCCCACTTCTCAAAATCTAAAAAAAAAAAAACTAACGCCCCCTTTATTATTAAGACACCATATGGGAGTTTTTGAGGCCCATTCTCTTTTGAGACATAATAGGGAGAAATGTACAGCAACCCACTGCAGATTTCTGAAATTATAACCCTCCATAGTAGCCTCCCCTTATAAACCACGTCCTACCCATAAATTTGACATCAATCCACAGTTAGAATTCATTAATAAGACTAAGAATTCTGAGTGGGCTAAACAGTAATTCTTTTGGTTGCATCGAGTGAAGAAATATGAACAATTTCCTCGATAAATGCTATTATGTAGGAAAACAATTCATTTTCACAATTAAACAATGACACTACACTTCAAAACCATCGAACTAAATAATTCCAAGTTTCCAACTTCACTATTTCAAGATTCATATCTAATTATTTTTATATGTTTGTTTTGATTTATTAAGATAAATTTTGATTCGGTAAGATCTTCACACAAGGGTAATTATCTAGAGATTTGCAATCCGTGTTCAGAAAAGAGTTTTTTCTGAAGCTGGATTGGAGTTCACATCAGCGCCGGAGGCGCCCCACCACGTCGGGAATATCTCCTGATGATGTTTCACATCTTTCGTTCTTGTCATCGGGAAAAGTTTCCGATACAAGGTCAGGATATACTGTGGGCATTGTGGGGCGCCTCTGTGTGACGCGCTAATGTGACTTCGCTGGATTGCATTGGAATGTTATTTTATTTACAAAAAAAAGGTTCCGTACGCAGGTGTCATGCGTCAGGTTCCATGGTCTAGTGGTCAGGACATTGGACTTTGAATCCAATAGCCCGAGTTCGACTCTCGGTGGAACCTTTCATGTGTATGTAGCTTTTTCACAGTTATTTTTCACCCTTTTTTACACACCAAATTATCAATAGTTCACTACTCTTCGGCAGCATATATTTTTTCGGTAAGTTATAGATTAGCGTAAGTTACAGATATCCCCATACTATGGGATCAGAATACCCTTTAAACTTTTACTTTGGCTGAGTTTGGAAGGAGCATAAATGCAAAATTATAGAGTGTAAAAAACGTTTACTTTGGCTGAGTTTGGAAGAAGTACAAATGTAAATATATAGAGTGTAAATACATAAAAATACAAGGTTTTATATTCTATATATTTGTATTTGTACTCCTTCCAAATTCAGCCAAATTTGCGACAAATATCCTCTTTTGTTGGAGTTTCATCAGTTAAATTAAAAACATAAATAAAAGTCTTATTTAGTTATTTAATTTTTTTAAACCCTAAATTATTCTTTTCTTATTTATTTAAATGATTTATGATTCTATTAGTTTTATATATATAACATTGAATCCCTCTTGGTTGATCTAATAGATTCTTGCAGATTTTTGGCTGGATTCAATATTTAAATGAAATGGTAGAGGTTTCTTACTAGTAGATATAGATTTATGGTTTTGTTTGGTTTTTGTTGAACTATTGGAAAAAAAGAATGGATAATTTTTATATTTTAAGATGAAGAGAGACATTCATGTGAGTGAAAGCTTAGTTTGGAAGGAGTACAAATGCAAATATGTAGAGTGTAAAACCTTGTATTTTATATTATTTTGTATGTATTTGTACCATACATATTTATATTTGTACTCTTTCCAAACTAAGCTTTAGAGAAAAAGAAGATATTTTTGGTCAATTGGGGTTTAAGAGGAATGGCAAGAAAAAGAAATTAAGGAAAATTTATGTAGGTATTTTGGTAATTTAATGTATTATGTCATTTGACTTAACAATTAAGGATATTTGTTACAAAGTGAAAGTTTAGGGAGTCTTTATGTGAAATGAAATTTTAAGGGATATTTGTCAAGGGTGGTATTTATTGCAAATGAACGTTTAGGGGATATTTGTCAATTGTTACTGACCCCTTAGTAAAAGGGGGGTCTTTATTATAAATGAAAGTTTGAAGGGTATTTCCGTATTGGTCAAATGTCACTGACCCCAATTCCCAAAGTAAAAGGGGGTATTTG